TACGGGTTAATAATTGTGTTCTTGCGTTAAGAAACGTTGCGTCCGATATTACTTGCGTTGCGTCCTATGGCGTCCCTGCTCGCGATAGCCTTGAATTTTGCGTTGGGACGTCGATGGCATTGTTAGTCGCGGTCGAATGTCGTTCCCGCCGATTGATTATTTATGTTAGACTTGTACTCTTGTCAAGAAATTACCGGCGTTCACGCGTTTCTTGCGTTTAGATGTTACTTGCGTAGTTCTTCATGGCGTTCCGTGGTTATTAGCGATATTAAGAGTTGTATTCTTGCGTATTATCACTTTCGACTCGAATTATTAATTGTTTGAGAATATCGCCTTCAGCGTGTTTATTAGAGACTCGATTAATGCTCCGTGGATGTCTCGCGTCCGCATTAATATTATTTCTGTTAAATGAATCCCGACACCCCGCCACCGGCTATTCCTGATTTATTTATCGAAGTTATCTTGTGTTTGATCGAAGCCGGATGGATAAATGTTATTATTTTCTCAACAACCAGTACTCAATAAATGTTATTTTCTTTGTTATCTGACTGAGTATGAAATTAACGTGTCACCCCGCCGAATATAGCGCTGCCCTTCATTAACCCCGCCCGTGATTAGGTCAAGCTAGCCGATTCCACGCACCTCCACACTTCGTTTTGCGTCTCGTTTAGGTTTTCGCGATTTCGTGGACGCGAATGCACGCGTCTGGCGCCCAACATTCGGAATATTTCGTGGAGTATCGGAGGTGCGAGGAAATCACTGGAGAGGCCTACCATCCCGCTCTCCTAAGCCCTTTTGATCCGGCACACGTCCCGGAGCGGTCCGGGAGTGCAAAAAGTCGTGACAGTACAAATAAATAATTCGGTATCTTAGGGACGAGTTTCAATGCTCGCTAGATGTGGCTCCGGCGTTTTCGATCCTTCGTTGTCACGGCCGATATTCGATTATTCTTCGTTACTTCGATGTATACATGTCGGTTACGTGGCCACGAAGAATCGCTCGAGACTTTGCTTTTCCTTCGAGATGAACATTTAAATTCTTTACAAAGGACATAATTGTGAACATAAAATAAAGTGTGTGTCAAGCCAAGGCGACCCAAGGTCTACACCTCTAGGCGCTGTCGCATCCGAACAATCAGGTAGCGACTCAGGGCGATAGTTCCCTAGGCGTCGTCGCTTACCGCTCTCACTACTCAGGGCAACAGCCCCTAAGCGAAATAATCAACAACAGCCCTTAAGCGAAGTCACATACTATGCGCAACTGATCCATGTATGTATACGTATTTGCGTTCTCTTCTTAATTGTTATTTTCTGCTTTAATGTTTAACGTTTACATTCTTTATTAAAACGATCTTTTCAACTGTTTTCTGTATTTATTAATCACACATTAAATAAGGCTCAAGACAAAAATACGGCGTAGATATGAGTAATATCTATACTGATCACATAACAAGTCACTAGATAGATTTTAATCTTCCTTCGTATATTGAGAGACATCGCGGTGTATATTAACGCTATTAAATGATGTTTTAATGTGGTTGTTTCTAAACACGTTTTGACTGATTAAAATGCATCAGTTATAGCCTGATAAGTTGGATACAATGCAATTAATCAAAATTCCGCTTATCTGTTTAGTATCTTTGTTCGCGAAATCGCTGATTAATCCCGGCGATGGAAGCGGGATGAGAAGGACGCGCGTGGAAGGTGTTAATTAATTATTCTGTAGTATAAAATGTAACTCAAAACACAGTCTGAGCCGTCTTTAATACGAGAATAGATATATACAGTCTGTCCTGAAAGTGGTGGGCAGTCTTTCGGAGTTCACTAAACATAAGAAGTCTTTGTATAAGAAGTCTTTGTATATCGTTTGTGAGTGGGCGAGGCAGTTATATTAATTGCCCTCCTCGTGATGATTAGCCCGTGAGCCGATAAGACACGTGGCGGTCGGCACTCGCGCACATGTGAGCCTGAGTCGTCGTGTTGATGTACCCGAGTAGAGCTGGATGAGCGGTCGCTTTACATGTTAATGCAATATCTCGGCAGCTGTAATCACTGCGGTGGGCACTTCAATGTGTAGTTACAATCAAAATGCACAGAGCACACGTCGTGCGTCTGATCACTGCGCGGCCATTTGTACAACTCTGAATATCGCGAGGAAGACGTTGGCGATGAGCGCGCCCGTGCGTGCGCCAGCTGTCGCGGTGATCGGGCGTCGATACGCGATCGATGCTGCCATCTGATCGGACGGCGCAACGTTAACGGAATCTCGAACATTCCGCCCGCCATCAGCAACCTTGTTGATGATTCCTTACTCTTGATCCTTTATCCGGTTGAAATGGGTAATATGGCAAGCTTGGCACTTGGCCGAGTGAGTGTCGTGTGGCCGTCTTGAGGGTAACCACCCTGGTGAGTCCATCCTTGCTGGGGTGCAAAGCTGTTACTCTGGCGAGTGGCCATTTGCACGGTGGAGAGCGTTCGTCGGTGAGCAGCACGATGGAGCCCATCTTGATGTTGTTGTTAGGATGATGCCACTTGGATATCGCCTGCTGGCGTTGCAGATAGTGAGCCGACCATTATGCCCAAAAATGTTGAACACGCTGCTGGATGAGCTGCCACCGAGATAGTCGTGAGGTTGCTAGGTCAATATCAGAGATGGCTCGGGTATGGTAGTGATTGGACCTCCAATGAGGAAATGATCTGGTATGAGCGCTGAGACGTTTTCAGGGTCGTCACTCAACGGTTCTAAAGGCCGCGAGTTGAGAATGGCCTCAATTTGCGTAAGCAACGTTGTGAGTTCTTCCGTCGTGAGTAGAGTCTCCCCGATAGTCCGTCTCAGATAAAACTTCACGGATTTCACCACCGCCTCCCATTTGCCCCCCATGTGTGGAGCGCCTGGTGGGTTGAACTCCTATCTGGTGCAATCATGTTGTAGAATTTGAGCGAATCGTTGATATTCTTGGAAACTCTGGATGAACATTTTCTTGAGCGCGGCGTCTGCTCCAATGAATGTTGTCCCGCAGTCCGAATACATGGTCTGAGCAATTCCCCTTCTGGCTGAGAATCTTCGGAAGGCTGCTATGAATCCTTCTGATGAGTAGTCACTGACTACTTCGAGGTGAATTGCGGAGGTGGAGAAGCAGACGAACACACAGATCCATTCCTTGTATGTTTTCGCACCTCGTCCTTTCCATGTTTTGATGGTGAGCGGTCCGGCATAGTCAACTCCTGTATGAGTAAACGGACGTGACGGTGTAACCCGAGAGAGAGGTAGTTGGCCATCAGTTGATGAGCACGGATCCCCCTCTGCCGAGCACACACGACACACCGTAAAATATGATACTTCACCGGAGCCCGTCCGTCGATGATCCAGTATTTTTGTCTGACATGAGCCAATGTCAGCTGTGTTCCTCCATGCAAAGTACGCAGATGGGCGTGTGCAATGATCAGGGTTGAGAACCGTGAGTGGCGAGGCAAAATCGCCTGATGTTTGTTGTCTTGAGCTAGTGCTGATTGGTTGAGGCGGCCGCCAACTCGGATGATCCCTTGAGCGTCTATGTACGCAGTCAATCGACTGAATGCGTGAGCAGTTGGTAGTCTCGAGTTGGCCGTGAGCATCTTGATCTCTTGCGTGAAGTATGCCGCTTGAGTAGCCTTGATCCAGAATAATCTGGCCTCCTCCAAAACTGAGTGCAAGTCCAGTGGCTTGTATCGGCGCTTTCTCAGAAGCGATATGAATCTGAAACAAAGAGCTGTTATTTTCAATAATTTATTGAGAATTGAGTACCTATATATCAGGTCCCAGTGATAGTCCGGTTGAGATGCGGCCGCATGTAGCGCAATGCCAGGACGAGCCTCATGCGCGCTCAACTCGTCCGAAAGTGCGGGTTGTGATGGCCATGCTTCAGGGGTGAGTATCCACGGTGGTCCCGTCCACCATAATGAGTGGCTTTGGAGTTGAGCAGTACTTAATCCTCGTGATGCGCAGTCGGCTGGGTTGGACGTACCTGGTACGTATTTCCAATGTGCGTTCGCAGTGAGCTCTTGAATTTGAGAAACTCGATTTCTCACAAAATCCTTCCAGCGCGGTGCATGAGATTTGATCCACGTGAGTGTCACAACAGAGTCCGTCCACAGGTGAGTTGCTGTGACGTTCAACTTCAATGTGGCTTGAACGTATTGCATGAGTCTTGAGAGCAGCAGTGCTGCGGTGAGTTCAAGTCTCGGGATGGTGAGCCGCTTGAGCGGTGCTACCTTTGTTTTGGAGCACACCAATGAAATCGTGGCGCCATTAGAACCGTAGACGGTGATCAATACGACTGCAGCCATTGCCAGTTGAGAAGTATCAGAAAAGCCGTGAAATTCCACTGACGAGGTGCTCCATGTAGTTTGAGAGGTGCTACCTTGGTTGTACTACCGAGGTATTGAGAGCTTGCAAGCTTGTGAGTTCTTTTCTGATAATGAGCCACCGTGATGAGAGCTGGGATGGCAGTGGTTCATCCCATTGGAGCTTCATGTAGCCAAAACTCTTGCAAGAGCATCTTCGCCTTGATCACCACAGGTGATGCAAAGATCAGTGGATCGAGTATCTGAGCCACTTCAGACCAAGCAAGGCGTTTGGTGAGATGATCGGTGTGCGACGAGATCCTTATTAAGAATGTGAATGAATCTTCTTGAGGAAGCCATCGTAATCCGAGTCTTTTGGTTACGCAATCGTCAAATGTAATTTGTGAGCCCTGGTCTTTTTCTGCTTGAACCGCAGTGAGTACGTCTTGATGAGTCGCGTGCCACCTTGCTGATGGGAAGCCGCCCGCCATGCACAAGTCCGTTGAGCAGTATTGAATTCTAGTACCTGCTGAACGGTGTTGTCGCCTCCAGAATTGTCATCAACATATCGATCGTTGTTAGCTGATATGGCACTTCATTGAGTTGTTCATCTATCCAGCGAGTCCGTTGTAAATTTCAGTCATCTTCACGTTGATCTGCCTATACCCTTTGGTGATGTCAGTGGCAACTAAGTGTCGAAGTGGTCGAATCCAGAGCAAAACATCTGATGTCTAGGTGCTGTAATGCAGATGCATTCGAGCCATCAAATACCACGCGTAATGTTGTGGTTGCACTGTCTGGTCTGAGCACTCCGTGATGTGGCAAATAATATTGTGTGTGCTGACTGGAAACGGGTGAAGCCTTCTTCATGTGATTGAGCTCTTGATATTCTGTCATAAACTGATAATACAGACGTCGATAGTTGTCATCTCGTGAGAGTCTTCTTTGTAAACTTTTCAAATATCGATGCGCAATGAGATACGAATCGCCAAGAGTATCAAGTGATGATTTCAGTGTAAGTCGAACTGTGTATCGACCTGTTGAATCCCGTGAAACAGTACTCTTGAAATGTTCTTCACATCTTTTCTCGTCAGGAGTAAGATCAAGATTGTTGCTCGCAGGCACTTCTTCTTGTGTCCAGATTTCGACAGTAACTCGTCGAGAGCATCTTTCCTCTCCTGAATCGATGCATGATGCACTGCAGCAAATGCCGATGATGATGTGTCGACAGGTCCGAGCACGAACCATCCGAAGATTGAGAGCTGCGCAATTGGCATCAATGTATCTCGTTTGATGATGTTGGGCTTGATGATCTGCCCATATGAGTCAGCTCCAATGATAATATCCACTGGCCGTGGTGTCAGAAAATCTGGATCAGCCAAGGCTAATTTGGTGAGATGCGGCCATTCCTGTGGTGCAGCGTTGAAGGGTGGCAAGATGTTCGTTAACGTCTGCAGAATGTGAGCTTGAATAATGACGTCTGATCTTGAGTGAAGTGAGCGGAGCTTAAGCAATGCAACTCCTCGAGTCTGCGTCGCCTTTCCGCCACCAATTCCAGTGATGAAAATAACGGAATGATGACGAGTAATGTTGAGCTGACGAGCGAGAGATTCTGAAACAAATGTAAGTTCTAAACCTGAATCGATGAGAAGCCGTACCCACTGAGTATTAATTGATGAGCTGATCTGAGCCAGGGCCGTAGCGAGTAATGTTGAGTGTGGTGAGCGGGCCAAAGAGAAGTGAGCAACGATTGCACCATTTTCCTATTGAGCTGTCGCAGTTGAGCTGGTGGTTGGCTTCGCTAATGAGCTCGACTGATGAGCCTCATGCAGCATCGTGTGGTGTCGGTTGGTGCACTTCTTGCACCCCCGTGAGCTCTTGCATGAGCGGACATTGTATCCGGAGATGAGCTGAGCGGGTGTGCCTTCAAGTGAGAGTCGCAGATAATGAAGGTTTTCCACGTCGGTGAGGCGTCGGTTGTCGTAGATAACGGCCTTGAATAGGTCGCGATACGTGGGCCATGCAGCGTAATTGCCCTTGAACGACGGGATGTTGATGTCCGGCAGCCGCTGATTGTCACGCGGGGACTGCGATGGTTTGGATATGCGTTCTTGATAACGCAATAATGCGACGTGCAGTCATGTAATAGCTCCGTCGTGGAGTGAACATTGTTTTTAAGCATTCATGTTGTATGAGCGCCGCCGGCCAAGTAACTTCAAAATATGCGTGCTCCTTGAGAAACGCTTTATGCACCTTCTCGAGATGCATTGAGATGTAGAAAATCTTCTCTAATGACGTGTCCTTTGCACAAGATGGTGGCGTCTCGCCAGTATTCCGCACCGTCGCCAGTCGGTTCATTTAGGATGAGCTCCGTGGACAAGCGCACGGGTGAGGCTTGGCGTTCCGATGTGCGAGCCGGTGGTACCTCGAGCAGCGGCGTCGTGGTCTCCGTACCGCCCGTACCCGCCTTTGCGGGTTCCGTCATGTTGAGCCGTCCCTGAGCTGCGCACGATGAAATACCTGAGAAATGTCGAGGCACGTGTAAGAAATGCTGCACGAACCGAGAACGTTCGAGAGACGCGTGAGAAAAACACTATGCGAATCGAGAATCGTTAGGATCATGTATTGAGCACGTGAAAATGTCTATTTACACTCGCGGGAGCGCGTGAACATGTTTGTGTAACACTCACGAGCGCGCGTGAGAATGTCTGTACTTCACTTGCGGAAGCGCGCGATAATGTCCACGTGGCATGTCGTGAAAGGCATGCCCTGTTCACATGATCTGTGTCCGAGCTACACTTTAAGTTCCACGCATCCGGCTCGAAGGACCAAATGTTCGCGAAATCGCTGATTAATCCCGGCGATGGAAGCGGGATGAGAAGAACGCGCGTGGAAGGTGTTAATTAATTATTCTGTAGTATAAAATGTAACTCAGAACACAGTCTGAGCCGTCTTTAATACGAGAATAGATATATACAGTCTGACCTGAGAGTGGTGGGCAGTTTTTCGGAGTTCACTAAACATAAGAAGTCTTTGTATATCGTTTGTGAGTGGGCGAGGCAGTTATATTAATTGCCCTCCTCGTGATGATTAGCCCGTGAGCCGGTAAGACACGTGGCGGTCGGCACTCGCGCACATGTGAGCCTGAGTCGTCGTGTTGATGTACCCGAGTAGAGCTGGATGAGCGGTCGCTTTACATGTTAATGCAGTATCTCGGCAGCTGTAATCACTGCGGTGGGCACTTCAATGTGTAGTCACAATCAAAATGCACAGAGCACACGTCGTGCGTCTGATCACTGCGCGGCCATTTGTACAACTCTGAATATCGCGAGGAAGACGTTGGCGATGAGCGCGCCCGTGCGTGCGCCAGCTGTCGCGGTGATCGGGCGTCGATACCCGATCGATGCTGCCATCTGATCGGACGGCGCAACGTTAACGGAATCTCGAACAATCTTGATTCGTTTTTTGTAATTGATTTGTATGCAACTTTAAGGACTTATTGAACAACCCTCGTAATTAATTGAATTTTATAAGCAAATATATGTATACTTTGAAAAAAATTTGCAATAATATTTCTAATAAAATTATTATTAAATATTTATATTTGTCCCTTTTCTACGCAAAAACATGTATGTCTTTTGTACATACTAATTCCAGAAAAGGTTTTTAAATTAATTCTAAGCAAAAACAAACTGTTTTATTTGCTTTTGCTTGAAATTAATTTAAAAACCTTTTCTGGAATTAGTATGTACAAAAGGCAAATTATAAATTAATTAATATACAATAAAATGTAAGAGAACGGTTACACTGCAGTTATATTACAATAATGCTTTAAATTATATTACTGCTATATAAATGTTATATAACACCGCTATATTTATATTATATATCTATATTTATATTATATATAGTGGAAAATTACAACTAACGTCTATATAACTGTTACGATCGTGTTATATTGCGTGTTACATTTTGTTATATACTGGCAATATAATCGTTATATATCTGTGTTTGCTGGAATATATGATTACATCAAGAGACACGGTAGTGTCTCGCGCCAAGTACGCGCGGAGCGAGACGCACCGTGACTCTTTTACGCGAACGTACGAGTTGCGAGTACCCGAGATTTTGAGATCTCAATAACGAGTGAACGGATCAAGTGCTAAGTAGGCTTGATCGATAGCTTGGGTTGATTTACAAATAAGAGTGTTTTTATTTTTCCGCTACGTGCCCTACGAGAGGAGATATTACGATGCAAAGTCTGAAGTAGTGAATTTTCCAATTAAGAAACGTCGCCGTACGTACGGTTGCTTTTTGCCTCGATAGATGGCATTTGAGAACATGTCGAGCGTCCCCCCGGATTCCCTCCATGACAGTGTTGCTATATTATCAACCCAGCGAGTAAATTTATTCGAGTCGATATATCAATATATATTGACGTGTGCGTACTGCGCTCAGTGCAGTCAGTGCGTTCAGCGCGCTGTCAGTCAGTTAAGGTCTATCCAGACAAACTTGCATAGGTGCATAACCATATGCATAAAGAAACGGATTGATCTATTTTCTTATGCACATGCATATGGACCAATCAATTCTCTTATGTTTATGTTTATGCGCTATGCAAGTTTGTCTGGATTGACCTTTATAACCCTGGCGGAAATATTTCTACAAAATTTAAAAAAATATAAAATATAATTGCCAGAATCTATTAAATTTTACATGAATTTAAGAAGTACTACAAAATCCTACATAAAAATGCTAGAATTGAAACACTTTTGTAAATTTTTGTAGTATTCTATACAAGTAAGCAGATGTTTTAATTTTTTAAGATTTTGTTTCTTCTTAAATTTTTAAAATTTGTAGATCTTTGTACTATTTTTTATAAATTGTAGTTTTTCATAAAATACTACTTGCAATAATTTCTTGATTTGAGAACATTGTAATTTGTGGTACTATTTCGTAGATATTTCTACAAAAAAATAACCATTTCTACAAAAAATTCAATATTTCAACAAAAATGTACAAATTTCTATTTCTAGTCAAATTTTGTAGTTATTCATAGAAATTTTTTCCGCCAGAAAACCCATGAAATAGTGACGATTGTGCCCGTCGCTACGTGATAGATAATGAAATATATATTGACGGCAGGGAGCTGATACCGAGGAGATCAAGGAGCCTGTTCACACAAGGCGTTTCTGCCGCGCGGTTGCCGCGCGATTGCGGCCGCGCGTTAACGTTTGCACGAGCCGCGCGCTGTCGCGAGGCAAGTTGCAACAACGCGCGCATACGCGAAACGGCATACGCGCGACGGCGAGTTCCTATGGGTCTAAAATGCCGCAAAGCGTATCATAGACGCTCGTCGTCACGCGTACGCCGTTTCGTGTATGCACGTATGCGCGCGTTGTCGCACCTTGCCTCGCGATAACGCGCGGCCACGCGCGGCAGCGCAACCGCGCGTCAAAATAATCGCTTCGTGTGAACAGACTCTAAGAAGTGTAAGGCAGGAGGAGGTAGAGCAAGGAGATTTGAAAGACGCGGGATTACAACCGGAACTGTAACGCGCAGATAGGTAGAAGCGAGCGGGAAGCGATGCGTATTTGTTATGAAAAGCGAGGGAAGAGTCGTCGAGAACAGTCTTGCGTAGGGAGTGGTCGAGTGAAGAGGCGTTTTGAAATAAAGAGAGTTTTCTATTACGACGAGTCGATTCACTACCCTACAAATTCAGAAGTGGGATATAAGATCCATCGTATATCAGATCCATCAGATCGTATATCGGATCCTGATAATTGAACAATAAGCGTGCGTGCGAGACAGTGGACGCGAGTAAATCGTGACAAGTCGCAAACGAGAACGGGCCATACGAGTTGCTGCGGGAACGAGAGAAAGTTTTCGCGAGCTTAGTGTTCTCGTAGTCGTGCGAGGTTCCTGTGAGACAAGAGCATACGGCGATCGGCGGAATCCGGAATCCGTCTGCTAAAACGAAGGCGCGAGACGACGAGTGCGTGCAAGTACGGCATGTACTGTGGTAGAAGCTTCGAGCAGTGGTCCGTAATCGAATTGAAAGAACGATTAGGCGCTCTCAGGCTGAGCAAGGCTGGAAGAAAAGCCGAGTTGTTCGTAAGACTGTGCGAAGCCGATCCAAGTAGACTGAGGACAAGTAAAGCATCGCTTGGTGTCGGGATGAGCAGCGGAGAGAACAGCGCAGAGCAACAAACGAATGTTGAAGAGGACAACATGGCCGCCGGAAACGATGGCGTGCGAGCGGTAAATTCTGCAGCCGAGTCGAGCATTCAAGAACGAGAGTTAGATCTACTGTGGCGTGAAAGGGATCTAGTGGTGCGAGAATTAGAGGTGTTACGCATAGAGAACGCGACCTTGAAAGACACGATGGGGCAGCGAGCGGTCGAAAAGGAAGTACCAGCTTCGTCCGGTGAGTCTTCAGGATCGCCAATTCAATGGTCGATAACACAGTCGGTAACGGCACCATTACCACAAGCGACGGTTAGGCAGAGGCCCAATATCAATGCCATCTGCGAGTTGCTGTCAGAGTTCAAGGGTACCAGCGATGTCTACTGGCGATGGGAAAAACAATTTAAATTGTTATGTACGATATACGAGTTGGACGACCGAGCTGCCAGAATTCTAGTCGGCATGAAGTTGAAGGACCAGGCACTGAAATGGTTCCATTCTAAGCCAGAACACCTGGAGATTTCCGTCGAAGAGTTGCTCGAGGAGATGAGGAAGATGTTCGATCATCGACCG